GAAGACGAACAGGGACCCCAGACAGGTGGAGTGGGAACCGCCTCTGAGCATCTCAGCAGCCACTTCCAGGAAGGCTCAGCTGTGAGGCAGAGGCACCGGTCTCCATGCTTCTGCCAGGGCTGCTGGGAAGACAGACTCAAAGGAGGGGGTGGGGCTTGCCTGGTCCTCATCCAGTGGGTCCCCCAGAAGGAGCAGGGGGCTCCCTGTGGGAGGGGAAAATTTTAGAAGTGGGTAGGTGCCCAGAGAAGGCTCAGAATTTCTGGGCCAAGAGAGCCCTGTCTGTGTCCCCTCAGACGGCTATCTGAGGTAACGCCCCAGGGCCCGATGAAGCTGTGACGGGTATAAGAGGGGTCAGAGGACACAGGAATGCCCCTTGGTCCCAGCTTGTTCCCAACTCCCTTCCTTTGCTTCAGTGCCTTGAATAATGGCCATTCCGGGTTCCCCCCCTCTTTGGCCTCACCAGGAGAAGGAAGTATTTGTGCTGATGGTGCCATTTCCCAGGGCAGGCCGGAGGAAGGCAGGAACCAGGACTGGCAGGCAGCCAGAGCCCTCTTCGACAGAGATATAATTACTAAGAATGACCTCTAGCCCAGGCAGCAAGCAAAGTGGCCATTCAGGACAGTGCCAACCCAGTCCAGCAAATAAACGCCTCTGTGGTGGGGAGGGGAGGGTAAGCGGTCTCTGTAGGAAATGGTGGAGGCCGGTGAGCTCCTGGGACCTACGCTTTCCCTTAGTAATCCCTCCAGGTTATATTTACACGCACTGCATCCCGTTTGCTTGCATCTCTATTACTTCCATCAATGTTATTAATATTGATGATGAAAACAGAGACGTAAACACACACACACACACACACACACATACACACACACACACACACACATCTCTCAGTGAACTAAAACAAACCTTATGTGTTGCTCCAGAATGAGAGGGAGAGCCTGCCCATAGCCAGGAGCTTCCAGACAAAATGCATTTTCCCCTGAGGTCCTCCAAGCCAGCCTCGCCCAGCTTTCGGCCCCTGCACAAGCCCAGGGAGTTGTGTAGAGTCTTGTGCTTGGAAAGCCACTGGCTGCAAGGACTTTTTCATCCCTCCACTTCATTTCTGCTGCTTTGGGGAAGACATTACATAATAGATGGGGACTTGGAAAAAAAAAAAAGGTCCCAATTCTGCTTTCTATGGAAAGGATGCAAAGATTTTATGGGTAGAATTGGGGTTGTGGTTTGTGTTGACTTTGCATTTTCACATTTATTCCCCACCCAAGACTTTGGTTCTCCTATTCCTTATCCTGCCATCGCCCTTCCTGCACCCTATCCTCCTGCTATGGGTGGAGTGGTCCTGGGAAGAAACAAAGAAAAGAGAAAGCAAATATACCCCCTGCACATTTTGACCATGTATAATAGTTGAGGACGCCCAAATTAGATACCAGAAGAAGAAGAAGAAGAAGAAGAAGAAAAAAGAAGCACTGCTAGATGACATATGAGAGCATGAAAATATAGATCTCAGAGCAGAGGAGGTGCGGAGCAGGTGGCTGGAGAGGAAGGTAGGGAGGCAGAGTCCCGGCTCCCGGCTGCATCTGGTCCACATGGCATTTGAGAAAGCAGAGAAGTCACACTTTGGCAAGAAATGGTCAGACGCTTAGGGAGTCTCTGTGTGTCTCTGGCCTAGAGGATGGGGTGTTCATCCTAGTTGCCCACCACTCATCTGCCATGTTTGCCGTCTCTGGGCATTTTTCCTCTGGAGGAAACACATTTCTCACCTGCCATGAGGGATTGCTGGGCAAGCTGGCACTGGCTAAAACACGTGGCAGGGCACGGACCATGTCCAGGGCTATGCTCTGGGTCCCATAGGGGCTGGAGGTCCTGGTCGAACCTTCAACTTGCTGTTCAGTCCTAAGACTACTACACTCTCCCACAGCATGCTGATCATATGTCAGGTGGTGTGCCATCAGGGAAGGTGTATGTGTATCTAGGCCTTTCTATTTAGGATGCGTGTTTGTCAATAGAAGATGAGCAGGCTAATGCATCCGGTTATTTCCACCCTCTGGGGGTTGAGGAGAAAAATACGGGTGACCTTAGCCTCGTTGCTTTTATGTTTTCTCAAGCACTGGCTGCCCTCAGAAGGTGAGCATCCTTAATATGAATATTAGGGAGATAATGAAGTCACCTGGGTTGGAGTGTGTTACCAGCCAAAGGGAATCTGAGCCTGTGCTGCTTTTGGACTCCTGGGGCGGTGGGCAGGCAGGTGCAGTAGGCAGGGCCTGATCAGAGGTGGGCAGCGACCCACACAACGGGTTTGTCCAGTCCCCATTAGAGAAAGCAGAGACGGATGGTGGAACAGGATCCAACTGCATGGATTGAGTGGACTCCCACAGAGACCCCAGCCAGGGCATTTCCGGCACTGTGGAGGTGTGTGGGGGAGAAGCCCAAAGTCAGAGGTGATTCCAGTACCCGTGCCTACCTCTGGCCAGGTACTCATTAGATCCTAGCTCCATGCTTCACTAGACTCTCCATTGTCTATATTGACAGCATCTGGAATAAACCATTTGTTCCATCTCCCTTTTCCCTCTGCACATGTCACAGCCAGATTTCAGCTTCTAGCTATTCCCTGAAGAAGCCCCACTGAGCTCACTTTCAAGCTGAATGCCTCGGCTTGGAGGAAGGCATGTATCTGCCCATGTGTAGCTGTCAGCTCATAGTTGGCTTAAAGCAGCCTTTGGCCTCTGTGGGGGAGGCTCTCCTTAAGGAGAGGCTGGTTCTTGTGGTTTTGGTGAAGGCTGCCATCACATATGAACACTGGGGTTCCTCTGGGGTGGGCTTTGGGCCCTGGGCTAGAAAGGATGAAAACGTCCTTAGAAGGAGACACCTACCCCAGTGCTGCGTGAGGGTGCTCACGTCTGTGCATGCTCTGCAAAGAGCAGGGAGCCCTTCGGTTGAATCACAGTGAGGAGTCTGGGAATGGGTTTGTTTAGTCTTCACTGTCCTGTTTCAGCTGGTGAACAGACCCTGGATGTCTTGTAGCCTCAGCAACTGGCCCTGGAATGCTTTAGGCTGCAGTTGGAAAAGGAACCCCTAGAAACATTCCAATGATCTCTAGACCTGTAGATAGGATGCAAACGCAGGGTCACTTCTTCCAGGTGTGGGCACAAGAGAGGGAAGCCATTTCACCAACACATTCTCATCATTCCAGACTTCTTTCTTGTCTCTATTGCCCTGTGCTCCAACTCTTTCTGAAACTTAGTCATGAAAGAATTGCCAAGAGAGTTGACCTCGGGTGATAGAAATGCCTGCTAATGAGGGTCTTTTATGCTCCCTTGAACTCGCTTCCCTCTGGACCTTGGGATCCATTACCACATTGCCTCCCACTGACTGGACAACTTAAGAGTTTTTGCCTTGAGCGGCTCGGGTACTTCAGACAGTGTCCAGGACTGAGGCAGACACAGCTTTCATGAGGTTGGAGAGAAGGGTATGGCCTTGGGAAGCTGTGTGTAATGGTCAGAAGAAGATGTCTCCACTGGCTTCTCTAAAAAGCAACGACTACAGCAACAAACAAAAGCCCCCACCCCCTCACCCTACTAACTCTTTCACGTGTGATGTGATTGTGGTTTCAGTCTGTAGGTGTGTGCCACCCTGCTCCTGTCTTCTGGGGATGCCCCTTTCTCCTGTGTGTCAAGATGCCACTCTTGTGGCTCCCGATGTGAAAAGTGCTGTGATGTTTCTGTCCCAAGGGATGTAGCGAGAGCTCTCAGTGTTTCAGTCTTGGAGATGAGGTGGTGCCACATCACCCGCCATCCTATGGGGATGTGCAGGTTCTGTGACTTCCTGGGGAGCTGGTGTACTGTGAAAGTCTCCAGGAAGAGCTCCAGGTTGGAAACAGCTCACATCTGGATTTGGACTTCGTGAGAGGACTTGCTCGGAGGCAGAATCAATTGCCTCATTCAGAGGGCTGGCTGGAGG